GAAGACGTCAACTTCAGAAGGGTTAAGGTCTTAAGTGTCAAAGCCAAAACTTTAAAACTCTTAGCAGAAGATATAAATAAATATCTTTTAGACTTTGGGATAAGAACAAGATCCTTTTAGACTTTGGGATAAGAACAAGATCCTTAAACAAGATACACAAAACGCTGACTCTAAAAGATTGATTAAAAAAGACTATTACTACTATAAACTTTCGTTTATCAAAAGATACCTTAAAGAAATTTAAAAGACAAGTGGCAAACTGGGAGAAAATATTCGCAATACACGCAACCAACAAAGAGTTTGAGTCAAGAGTATACAAAGTGCTATATAAATCAAGAAGAAGAGTAAAACATGAGTGACTAACGTGAACAGATATTTCACAGAAGAGAAAATATATTTGGTTAGTAGTTAATGTAGGAAAATATCTTCATGAACTTGCACTGGCGAAGTTTAAAAAAAAACTGGACCAAACAGCAGGGACCATGAAAGAAAAGACTGGCCAGTTCATCTGCGTTACGGAGCTTAGCCATCATTCTCTCTCCCACATTGTCTGTCTCAGGGTCTTGAACATGGACAGCACTCCATCAGGGTTTGTTAAGTTACGGATGGAACAGCTGTCTGTAGTAGCCTGTTTAGGGTGTAAGGAGCCCTGGTGGTGCAGTGGTTAAGCTCTTGTCTGCTAACCGGAAGGTCACTGGTTTGGACCTATCAGCCACTCTGCGGGCGAAAGACCTGGCAATCTGCTCTTGTAAAGGTTACAGCCTAGGAAACCTTATGGGGCAGTTCTGCTGTGTCCTATAGGGTTGCTATGAGTCAGAATTGAGTCAACAGCAATGGATTTGGTTTTGTGTTTTTTATTTAGGATGTTAATATTATTTACTGTTACGTGGACATTTGTAATTTAAGCATGGTGGACCCATGAAAGAAAGAATTATTTTTCTGCCCTCACCTGTTATGTTAATTAGATATTTTTGAATCTGTCAAAATTTTCGGGGGAAATGTTATTTAAAACACTTTAAGATAGCCTTTGAGTCTGGAAAACCACTGCCTCCATTATGTGTTCTAGTGGCCTGTGGAATGCAGCTGAGACCTGGAGGGTCACAGCTTTTTAAAGAGCCTAAAATACTGAACTGCTATGGAAACAGCCCCCACCTGCAGCCTGTGCAGAACTAGAAGCAGGCGCTGATTTGGTGCTGGAATAACATGAAGTTGAAGGCCGACTGGGTGGCCTGGCTGTTGTAGCCAGGATTCCCATTTACATTAAGAGCCGGTTCTGGACCATTTTTTATTATTGACTCACTTAGCTCTGCAGAGGGGCCAGAGTAAAAAATCTGTATCCAGTCACTCAAGGCTGGGAACCAACCTATACCACTGAAAATCATCAGAGAAATAAGCAGTGGGGAAAGGTCTTGGAGACGCATGAAAAAAGGCCCTTATCGAGTGAGACGTAATCCCCAGATGACCTGGTTCTTAAACTGAAGATTTAAGTTTCAAGACTAATCTGTGTGGCCCTCTAAAACCCCAGTAGTTGTAACTTACCCAACTCCATGCTAAGCTGTTGCTTCTCACCAATGCCTGCTCACAGCATGGTGCCATATGAGTTCTCAGTCTGTGACGGATGGACTTGCATTACAGACATCAGCATAAATCATGGTTTATGCATTTGCCAGCATATCTGTGCAGTCTTATGAATCACTCTCTTACATCTAACTTGTTTCCTAGATCAAACTGTTCAATTAAAAAAAAAAATTTACTGAAGAATAACATGCATATGGAAAAATCGTAAGTATATAGCTAGATAAATTTTCACAAGTCTTATTTTTTCTTTTACAGGGTATATTGAGAATTAATCCAAAGAAGTTTCATGAAGCCTTCATCCCTTCCCCGGTAAGTTCAGTAACTTTATAATACACTGAACGTCACATTTAATTTTTTAGATGTGCTCTGAGACTGAAATCATATATTCTGACTAAAAAGCAGAGTAGTAAAACAAAATTGAGGACGGGCACAGATTTGTTTCACATTTAAATAAACAAAATTTGCTTTTGGTTGACAACCTCTTCTGCCAGCCTTAAAATCACACTGAAAATGAAAGAGGTGGCGGTTGTTACTGGACGGCAGAGAGCAGCTGGACCCAGGCAGACACCCACCAGTTCGTGTAATCGGACGCCCTTGGTTTATAGCTTTAAAGGATTTATGAGTTTTTCCACTGATTTAAGTTAATCTTTCCTAAACAAATACGCTATCTACTTTCGATCTACTGCATGAGCTAATCTGCAAATTTGTCCAAAAATAACGTGGAATGCCTTTTTTTTTTTTTTTTTTTTAGAGTTTCTCACTTCATTTTGTGCAAGTGATAGGACTTGCTACAGGGCTCTTTGCCACTGGGCCTTTATAC